CGCGGAGAGGCCGGAAGGTAATAGGGGCTGAAGAAGGGACAAGGCATGTTCGGGGAGCGAGGGATAGCATGAGCACCAGCGGCGGGCGAAAGAGCGGAGGAAACCGCAACGGGGAGCGCCCGAGTTGAGACGCCAACCAATCGGGGAGTATCCCGCCTTCTCGCGCTCCGGGGGTGAGAGAGGCGGGCGTGCGAGAGCAAGTAGACGTACTCGTGGCGCAGGAGTCTCTCTCCGCCGCCTCTCTCCGCCGCCTCTCTCCGCCGCCTCTCTCCGCCGCCTCTCTCCGCCGCCCGTCACGCTGTTTGAGGGGAGCGGGCGCGCCGCCGGGCGAGGGGCGGGGCTCCCGTGTGGACTGCAGCCTCTCGAGGGCCGCCTGCAGCCACACGTGCCCGCGCGGCACCACCACCTCGTACGAGCTCGCTCCGGAGCTCACCGCCTCGTCTGGAGCGCGGAGGAGGGGCGGAGAGCCGAAGGCCTATCGCACCGCGCGCGATGTGAGGGCGTGTGCGGAGGGACCCTCTCTCCCGCACCGGACTGGGCGAGCGCCATGAGCGGACGCAGGTGGCCGGGCGGAGGACGCACAGTCACCGTCTCGCCTATAGTCTCGCTGCTCCGCCTCGCCTCCGCCGCCCTCGCCCTCGCCGCCGCGCCAGGGGTGGCAAATCTGCGCCGGGCAACCCGTGCACCCGCTTGCAGATGGTCTGGCTGGGGTTCGTGGGCGAAGTGGAAATGATCACCGCGCCACGCAGCCGCGCGTTGTCCCCACTCAGCGCCTCGCTTGCCCAGCGGTACGTCGCAAACGGCACGGTCAGCACGATGTCGCCGCGCGACCCGATGGTCGGCATCATGGAAGGGCCGACACACTGGGTGCTATTGGCGACGTAGTTGGTCACAAAGGCACAGAAGGCGCCAAACTGAAGCAGATCGATCAGCTGGGCACCCTCTTCGGCCCAGCCGCCACCCTCTGTGCACTCACCCGATTCGATGCCGCTGGTGCCGCTGGTGCCGCTACGACCAGCGTCGTCGCCGCTGCTCGCGCGGGCTGAGGAACCGCTGGGACGCGTCGCTGCCGGCGGAGGCTCGAGCTGCGGCGGCGGCAGCGGCGGAGGCGGCGCAGGTGGCGGAGGCGGGTGCCCGACAGCTGCGGTGTTAGTCGCCGCGAGACCCGATGAGCCGAGCTCCTGGACCGGCGCGCGCAGAAGCGGCGGAGGCCCGACGAGGCCACTAAGGCAGCGCACGAGCGCAGAGCCGCGGCTCGCGGGCCGTCGGCACACAAGCCGCGCGGACATAGAATTCCTATCTAGTGGCTTGTCGGCAACAAAGAATTTCTGCGAGTGCTCCAAGTGCTCTTTCTTTCTTTCTTTCCGCAGAGGCGCAGTGGAGTTGGGATTCCACCGTGCAACTCGTGCGCAGTAGATGGAGCGGGGAACACACTCCACAGAGGTCACAGCTCTAAAAGCCCCACGCACAGTTTGGGTCTAGCGCCCTGCCACATCAAAACGTACTCGCATTTTGCGACGCGCCCCCCTCGTGTTGACTTTTTGCCATCATGCCGACGCCTCGTCTATGCCATCAGGCCGACGGCGTGAACGAGAGCTTTCGTGGTGCGCGTGGTGGTCTCGGCGGCGATGGAGGCACCTCGAGTAGTACCAGTTGCCGCGGGGGGCGAGGCGGAAGTGGTGGCAGAGGCGATGGCGCCAATACAACGGGAGGCCGCGGTGAGTATGACGGGGGGGGCTGCGAGGGAAGCTGAGGGTGTCGCGGCGGTAACGAAGGCTGCGGCGAAGGAGGGGGAAAA